GTATAGTGTATTTTATATGTATATATACACACTAAATACTTGAAAATATATTCAATATGCAAACTAATATATAACCAATTGAAAGAAGTTACAACTAGACAAAATAAATTTTGATACAGGATGAAAACTACCAATAAATGAATTGTATTATTAACAAATTCAAACATTCCAAATATTATCAAATTAACTACTATATTACCTGCTTTCTAATAAAATTAACTTTAACAAAATTAACAAAAAGTGGAATTTGGATTTTGTCCAAAGGTTTCACATAATTTTTGTCTGAGTCTTAATTTCTTTTTAAGGTATTTTTATAATTTATATACAATATAATCCACTTATTGTAATCACAGATATTGTTATCAGTCACTTAATATTATAAAAATTAGCAGGTCCCAAAACTCTACTATATTTTCACTTATTAAAACCAGAATTTTAATCATAGTTATCATTTTGTTTAGGTATATGGCTATTTTTAAGCAATCTTTTCCTTTTATTGGCCTTAAAGATTATGCATTACCAGTTATATATTATGAATTACTGTAATCACTCTTAACCATTGCTTCAACAATAACATTCATCATTTTAATTGTTATTTAACCTCAGTACAATAGTTTAAATTGCTAGTATTTCTTAGTTCAGTTATAAATGAATAGTAATTTATCCAGTATATAACAATAATAATAATTATAACAAAGTTATACATTTTTTAATCATTTTTAATATGTCTTTTTAATGACAAAGTCAACAAAACCAGAACTTCCACTAACTGTAATCTTATTTACTTACTCTGCTTAATTTTATTAATCAATTATTGGTAAGTGATTACAATAAGCAAATTCTACAGTATTGTGATCTCAGTTTTTACTTAAACAGATAACTTTATTTTAAAATAAATTGGGTGTTATCATTTATTGAAATAAAACAATTTATGACTTATTACTTAAAATTAGAGAAAATTTAAGTTTTCATTTAAAAGTTCTTGCTAAATCTTTCAAAAATTTTTTAGAAATACTGAAATTAAATATTCTATTATTATTTTAAATTATACCTACACACTTTAACATTTATCAAGACACAAAATATATCTTTATATCTCTAACTGCATTATTAATTAATAAACTCCATCATACCTTTAAAATGCAGTCTATTTTAAACAGTTATCAAACGTTTTCGGTCAGATTAACAGACCTTCTTCAGGATCGACGTAAAGAATTTAAACTTGCCTAACGGTAATTCTAAAAACGCATGCTCTACAATCTTCCGAGATTCGATTGCGCACGTCCATTTGTTCTTTATAATGCCGCCTTATATATATCTTCTAATGACCTGAAGAAGATGAAAGTGTGTATCGTCGAAAGTGCTCGTCAATTTAGTGACATACGTATTTAATTTAACGCTTATATGATAAAAGTTTTTGTAACAAATTATTAGCGTGCTGTCTATCACTATATTATAAATGTAAGAAATGAATATTAGTGCTGCTCCTAGTGGTGAATTTGTGCTTATGACTAAAGCCACCTGTAAGCAGTTTAAAATCTGCTACTCATTAGTACCTCTCCCCATTAACTCCACTCCCATCTGCTATTCTCATTATTTCAGAGAACTGGGGGGTCACGAAGGGGAAGGAATAGCTTGGTTAGGGGATAGTGGAGACTGGAGAGAAAGGCTCCCACCTTTCACATGGGAGATATGTGGGATGGACGTAAAATTCATCTATGCTTGTGATCACCTTTCTTTTTAGTTCAATTATTGTATTCTTAACATTTGTAATATTACAACTTATGTCACTTCCATTCTCACCATCTCAAATATTAAATATATATATCAGAGCAGTGGAGCATTACAAATTTCCATGCTCCAGCTCCGCTCCTGCTCCGAGTAAAAATCCGTTGCTCTACCTACTCCATGCTCCAGCTCCGTTCCAAAGCCCTGCTTGATACTGTACTACAGCAGACCTGGTATCAGCAAAATGGCACACCAGTTCATTCCCAGGCAGATGTGTCAGTGATTCATATTGGTTTGATCATTGATACAGTGGACACAACATAGTCCTGTTCATGACTATTATGTTCCCTGAACTTGACACTGCTGGATTTTTTCATTTGAAAGCACCAGTTTACAATGCATACCCAGCAGCACCACGTGATATTGGCAAGCTGTAAAGCAAGTACAGGAGGCTTTTAGGGCAGTGATGTGAGGTATATGAGGTATGCCATGTGTTACCCATAACACCACTTTCAACTATCTACACTTTTATATTGCTGCTGAAGATAGTGGTCATTTTGAAGATGTACTACAGCAAAATAAAACTAATAGTTTTGTTTTATGTAATGTTGGTTTTTATCCTTTACAGTCAAAGTTCTTTGTAGGTTCTGCTAAATCATAAAATGATTCTTTTCCATTATTCTTGCTCTCAGAAGAGAGCAAGAATAATGGATTTGAATGTGTTGAAACTACCCACACAATTTACATCTATCTTTTTTGAATGGATTTATTTATTTTACTGTAAACATGGCAGTGAAACTATGCATGCATAAATATGGTGAAAAGATCTCTTTTGCATCTGAGTAAATGTTAAAGTCAACACTTTACTTAATAATAATAATTAGCTATAATTACCTGCTTTTCACAACTTTAGGTAAAGCTGATGCATTTATTTTAAAAATATTTATAGGTTTATCTTTTAATGATGTTTTATCTGTAATATTTTCAGTTTTTTCACACACATTATCTGTTTTTTGCCTTTTATTCATAGATGGATTAACAAAACTGTCTTCCAATTCACCATACATGTCAAATAATTCTTTATCTAGAAAAAAAGCAATTCAATTAAAATTCATTTCATTTTGGTAATATAACGAAACATTTTATATTAAATTCATAATGATATTCAGTTCTATAACATAATTAAATAACACTGATGCTAAAACAAAACAGTTAATGATCTTCACAACAGACTCCATCATAAACAAGAAGAAAAAAAAGATCAATTTCTCAACCTGTGGGTATGGCTTAAAAGTTCAATTATCAACAAGAAAATTATTCCGAATAATGAACTGACCAATTCTTTGTAAAAAAATTTCTTGCAGTAACAGATTAAATTCAATATTAATAACATATCTAAATGTAAAACATAAATACAGCAATAAATAAATGTACATTATATATACATACTTGTACAATGGAAAAATATGAAACTAGAAAAAAAAACCAGAAAAACAGTACTATAACAGTACAGTACTGTAGTTTTTTTGTTTATTGTACTGTTATAGTATTGTACTATAAACAGTATTAACAAAAAATAATCACTGTCCAAAATCTGCTTTAAAAAGGGTGACTCTTCTTTATAAAGAGAAAACATAAGGATTCATTGACATAATAAACCTCAAGTCAAGCAAATGCAAAAACTGAGGTTTCCTAAGAATTTTAAATGTAGATTATCTAATAATGAGTTGTATAACTTTCCCAGCTGTTATAAAATTTTATTTCAAAAATAACATTTATATTATTAATCATAATAAATAAAATTATATGTGGTACCATCTGTTATGAGATTTTGTTATAAAAAACTTTTTATATTATTAATTATTATAGTATGGCAAAAAGCTTAATTTTGATGATGGTGATGAGTTTTATAAAAAAAAAACTATAAATGCTAATACATGTAATGAGTAAAATCTTCATTAAGTCTGACTCTAAGTAGATATGACACACAGTCCCTTTTATCTCCCCACTCTGAGGGAGTGGGGAGATAAAGGGGACCTTTAACCACCAAAATTTAACACCTTCAATGTCCCTTACACACAAGCTACTGTGCCAAATTTCTTAATGTTTACCCATCCTGAGATATTAAATGAAATAGATGTCAATACACAAATTTTTTCCGTTTTTTGACATTTTTGGATTCAGGGGGTCTCAAAACATGATTTGCAAAAAACTGGGAGGGTCAAATTTGACACTATTACAATACTCTCTGTTGTGTATACATAATATCAGGGAAGGTAAAAAGTACATGGTAGGCATTCTACAATGTTAATCAAAATTATGGACATAGAAAAAGCACTGAAGTTGTAGAAGCTACAATGTATCTTACAACATTTGTCAGTTTTGTCAATATTTTGACTGTCTCAAAGTGACGCCTCTTTAGGAAAATTGAATTTATGACTGCTATACAAAGCAAATCAAGAATAAAATTATAGAGAAAACAATTTAAAAGCAAGCATTACAGATAAAGTGCATTACATTATATTAATACAGACATAGTGTTATCAGGAAGCATAGTGATATTAGCATGTAATTACATAAGAGGGCATAATCATAAAAACAAACAATAAACCAAAAGTAAATAATTCTTTTGATACTATGATTCAATAGTTAGCATTTAAAAAACTAGTCCTTGGTTTACAATATGGCTTTGTTTCTGAAAGAAACAATTAAAAAAATTTATATAAAGTAAATGTAAGCTAATTGGAAGTCAATGAATTATGTTTTAAACAACTCTCAAAACTGACATAATATATTATTATTAGCATTATTTTAAAGCACTGAAATGTGAATGTAAAAATATGGTTTTTATAAATATAAACCAATTAAATGTAATACATCATAAAATAGCCAAACAAATACATTTTGTATATTTACTTTAATAGTCCAAAACAAAATATTTTCTGAATGTCACTGTGAGGTCTCTGCATTGATTATTTACAACAATGGTATAATGCAGAGAGTTTTACTTCTCTTATAAAGTTCCTGCTTGATTAGCTTCCCCTTTCTTGCAGAAAGTATATAGTGTGAATTTTTGAGATTTTCTATTTCTTCAAGAATCTTCAATTAAGAGCTAATGGATAGCATTAAGCTGCTTTTCACTTTCACACTTTGCAGTAATAGTCAATCTTATAAAGTGCATCCACAAGAATCTTTAAGGCTGAAAAGATGTGCTGTAGATCAGTGGTTTTTCACAGACTTTAGAGGAAGCTCATTATCTTTCTTTCTCTCTTCCTTCTATCAGTTTAATGATATCCAATTCAGTGTAATTACATTTAAAAAAATTTGAATAACATTCTGGTATTATTGGCTAGCTAATTTCAAAACTATCATTATTCTGAATCATCTCAAAACAAACTGCCATAAAATAAATGTTACTGCACTACTAAAAGTTCAAGGAATCATCCATTTATTATGACAATAATTGGATAAATTTATTAGTAGTATTTCTTAAATCCAAAACTAATAGTTTTATAATTTACTTAAAGCTGTTTTTATTTTTTGTAAATATTGTAAATTTTTTGTAAACATTGTGATGGTGATTCCCTTCAGGACTTAATGTTTACCCATCCTGAGATAATAAGTGAAATAGATGCCAACACACACATGCATACCCCCACACATCCATGGAAATCTTTTTGCCTTTTTTTGATCTAGGAGGTCTGAAAATATGCAGATTTGCAAAAAACCTTGGAGGATCAAATTTGATTAGAATACATTCCCTTGTTATGTATACATAAAAGCCAGGAAAGTAAAAATGGCATGTAAATCACATTTGCAATAAGCATGTTTTATTATTTTATAAAGAGAAAAACAAATTTTTTTCAGTAATTTATAAATATTACAATCCAGATATAAGAGTATTAAATCATTAATAAAAGAGAAATTTAAAAACAGTGCAAATTCATCTAGATTATACAGGNAAGTCACTGAACTAACATTTTCAATCTCTAACCAAGATCTTCATCAGGTTCGTTGTCATTCTAAAAATGGAATATTGAGAATATAGAACGTTTTCAAATATAAAAAATTAAATCATCTCTAGTATGTAATAAAGAGCAAATATTTTGAGTTAATTAAGTAGACAGAAGTCTTCCATAATAATAATGTGGACCCTCTTCCAAGAAATAATATATGATTACCCGTGTGGATGCTCATCACAAATATAGCACTATATTTGTGATGAGCATCTGAAAAAGTTCATAAAAAAAACTATTGCAGAATTGGAGGAAGTGTCAAAAAATAAAATACAAATATAAATCCTTATTAGTTCAAAATATAGCGCTATATTTGTGATGAGCATCCACACGGGTAATAATATATTATTTCTTGGAAGAGGGTCCACATTATTATTATGGAAGACTTCAGTCTACTTAATTAACTCAAAATATTTGCTCTTTATTACATACTAGAGAAGATTTAATTTTTTATATTCGAAAACGTTCTATATTCTCAATATTCCATTTTTAGAATGACAACGAACCTGATGAAGATCTTGGTTAGAGATTGAAAATGTTAGTTCAGTGACTTCATTTGTTTCGTACCGAAAATTTAAAGGTTTTGGATGTGTTATTGTTAAAATAATGGAGTTATAAAATAATGATAAAAAGATGACAATGCTACAGGAAATCCTTATTAGTTCAAAATTCAGGGGATAAAATGTTCACAACTTCAAATTATCAGAGATTTACATATTTCCTATATAATATGCCAAATGCCACATAACTGATGTAATTTATTAAGCAAATGGAATATGGCTACTTATACAGAATGCTATTTTTGTTAATTAATAATTAATAATAATATATATATACTGCAGGTAAATAACAATTGTCTGCCAAGAACCTCACAGGCTGCCAAATAAGTTTTATAAAAAGTAAAGCAGAATTCCTGGAAATGTGGCCAAAATTATTTTTAAAGTGGCCCAAAAGTAATGGCCTAGAGTCTTACAGATATCTCAATCTGCTACTTGTAGCCAATCTTGCAATCCCAAAACCCATCTATATTTTATGAAATAAGAGAAAAAAATGCAGTCCATGTGTAAGGTGACACCTAAAAATGTGTTACTGTAAAAGAAAAGTCATATTGACCAGATTAGAATTGTTCTTGGTCTATTGTTCTCTTACAGCATAGAGGCATTTTGATCTAAACAAATGAATTAACATATGCATATCACAGTTTGGACAGAATTTTTACTTTGAATATTAAAGTAGCTATATTTAAAACTAACCAAATTCCTTAACATGTGTCTATATCTGCTGCTGGGACAAAAGTACAGTTATGAACTAAAAGGAATTTGAATCAATGAGAATTTCCTATACATCTTTCACAAATGTGCTGACTAAATTTATTTGCAATTTCTTTAGCTTTGGCCATAATATTGAGTAATCTGAAGTTTCTGTAATCTTCAACTCTTCTCGCTGCTTAATAATGGGGTTCTTTCACAAAATTAAACAACTTGGAATTATATATTTTTTTGAACTAATGAAAAGAAAATTGATTTTTTCACTAAAAGAGCTTATCCTTCTCAAGTTATCTTTTAGTATAGAATAAAATAAAACTAAAAGTAAATGAGTCTTATTTAAACTTACTCTTTCACATTTTTTTCACCTATGAACTCACAAACTCATAAATCTGCCTATAATTACTTTCCTTATTTTCCACTGCACCATTTTTTTAACCAACTTAAATTTTCAAGTGAATACTGAAATTAAGGCATTTAAAATAAATGTATTTTTATAAATTTAATTTTCATTGTTTTTTCACTTTTCTCTACAATATTTGTTCAATGTTCATAGAACTTCATAGTTCATACAAAATACTAATAGGATATTATTGAAAAATATTTTAAAAAAAGTGTTATACTGTTCTAATTGTATTCATAAATATGAGTTTCTGTTTGTGTTCTTTAATCATTAGCACTCTTTATTAAGTTTTTTAAAACACATGTTTATGTGTGAAATATATGAATTGCATTTATTATTAATTTATTCTATAATGTTTAAATATTTATTACTTTATTATGTAAAAAATACATGAGTGTTCTTGACATAATATATAAAGATACAGTATTCAGAGTTCAGCAGATCTATACTTTAGTATACTGAGTTCCATAACACATTTGTTGTACTAGACAAACTTTTACTTTTTTTTTTTTTATAACAAAATTAGCTTAATTCTGCACTATTTAAAACTTTTTTTGTTTAAAACAGATCTTTTAAACATTGTTTTGAACATTTGTTTTAAAACAACAATCTCACAACATGCAAACATGTTAAATGTAAGTTTTTAATAATAAAGAACATTATATTATACATTCATGATTTTAGAAAATTATAAATTTTTATAAAATGAAAAATGCATTGTCAAAAAAGAAAAAAAAAAGAAACAAATTAAGAATTTATTTGTTGCTTCAGAAATTTTAAAATATTACATACCATGATCATATTTTGCAATTTTGCAATTATATAAACAGAGTGAAAAGTGATTTAAATATAAAAACACAATATGTATTTTTTTTAAATAAAATAAATAATTCAATTATCTAATATGAGCTTCCTATAAACAAAAAGAGATGATTACTAGAAAAAATAATTTATAACAATAGAAAAATCTTTTATAACAATTAATAGAATCATTCAGTTAAAAAAAAATTAAATATTTAAAACTTTTAAAGCATAGATCATAGAATCCAAAATATCTTTGTATCCAAGAAAACTGGAATAAAAATTTGCTATAATTCTTTGTATTTTTACAAATCAATGCTTAAGAATAAGAAAATGCATTTCATTGTAATCATCTTAATTACTGCATGTTATAATAATATATAACTTAATTTTTAAATAGCTTTAAAAGCATGTAAAGATTACATTATATTTTATAATCATTGTTTTACTATTCCATATCATTAAATAAATACAGATGGATCAATTCAAAGTAAGGCTGTATCACACTGATAAATGAAAACATGAGTGAATGAAGGTGTTATGTTACAATCATTCAAAACCTGATTGTCCTGCATAGGTGTAATGTATCCATCTCTTGCATGTGTGAGGATCCCCTATTGATGGGTTTTTTTGATATCTCAATATAAGGCTCCATGCTGACTTAATTGACATCAGTGACCTTAATTTATATGGCCTTTTGAGCCTTCTTTCACCAAATGTAAGTGTTTACATTCGGAAATTTCTGAAACCAAGTAAGTTATGCCTGCTACTCAAATTTTTGAACATTTTTGTGGATGGCAATAATGTGGCCTCGTATATGAGACTAGGGGTAAGAGATGGATTAGGAAATGACAAGATTCAGTTGGAAGGAGTCACTGAACACAATTAACTACACTTAAACATTTATTGGATGGCACAAAGTTTGTACATTATCTTACACATGTAAGACATAGTATTTGCATTTATGTGCATTTTAATCATGGAGAGAGAGAGAGAGAGTTCACAAATTTTGGTACCTTACAAGTCCAAACTAGAAATCCCACATTTAAAAAATTTAGCCCTTGATGTTAATTAATAGTTCTGGACAGTAGTAGTACACAAGCAGAAGGACAATGAGAAATCCAAAGGAGGCAAACAAATGAAACTGCAGACAGTAATAGCACATAGGCACAGATCTTAATGTGATGAAGAACAAGCAATGACTGACACTGACTAAACTCGACCATTCTTTGTCATATTCAAGGTTGCAAATTCCTTATAGGTTACTGAAAGTTGAGGGAAAGGTGTCATAAGGTGTCATTATTGACTCTGAGAAAGCCTAAGCTGACATTCTCTCAACTCAGGAAGTTGACATATACTAGCTTCTGATGAGGTCATTCTCAGGTTGTTTTCCCTTAACTTGTTTGATTCTCACATATACTGTGAGACCTGTAAGGCCCCTGGGTCTAAATTAATAATTTATTAATTATGTTAAATATTGTCACCAAATATTACTTCATTTTTGGTGAGAAAAATAATGTTTTAACGTGGGAAAAGGCAGATAACAGATGTTACTTCCTTTCACAGAAGTTAGAACATCCTCTGACTTTCCCTTATCTCAGGGGTCGGCAACCTGCGGCTCGCGAGCCACATGCGGCTCTTTGGATGTGAAGCTGCGGCTCTTTAGTTCCATATGCAAATATTATTTATTTTATCAAAAAAAAAAAAAAAAACATTTAAAAATCGTTCTGAATCGATTAACGAGGATTAGGCACCGATTCTATCTCTCAGCCACTTGTACTCGCTTTTCATCGCACCCCTCCCCCGTGACACGTGTCGTCACTGTCGTCAGTCCGTTGGAAGCTCTCGAATGACGCCATCGTCGGATGTTTCTATGAGTTTTAATTCGCTTTCGACGCAAGACAATTTTTTTTATGAATAAATAGATTAGTTTTTTTAATAAAAAAACTTTATTTATGCGAGTACTATTTATTGTTGGCAAGAAAAAAATTTGTGACTCTTTAAAAACTTTGAAATTTTGTAAATTGTAATTTTTGGCTCTTCCAACTCAAAAGGTTGCCGACCCCTGCCTTATCTGGTTAAAATCCCGCTCAGATGGGAAATGTTTACCCCTCATTCATTCCCCTTTCATCCGTTCTCATGAAAGAGTTACTGGCCGATGATTGGTCGAAAATCCTGAAATATAGGGGAAATTTGTCAGAATTCGGGGAGTTCATCGACAGACATAGAGAGTGTCCGAACTCCATACATTTTCCTCCTGATGACCAACGTCCTTAGACGAGTCACATACAGAATAATTCCAGAGTTAGCACTTAGAAAACATACTTGGATTTTGTGCACATATTGATCTCCCATACGAAGAAGTAAATGAACTTTATCTCCAAAGTGTCCCTTGCATACAGAGAAGAAGACGAACGACAACTAAAACAGGTTGTATGTTTTATAACGATTTTGTGAGCTCTCTCTCTCGATCGCGCATCGGTATAGTATAAGTCCATGCATATATTGTGTATCTTAATTGTCGTAATTATATCCCTCGTTCCTTGATATTTGTATTAGTTTTACTTATAGAATCATTAAATTTACTTTTGTTTGTTTTATATAAGATATGGCTCTTAATTTGAATCGTAATAAGATCTCTTACACGTGTTAATCCGCGTATAATAAGATTGATTAACTGGTGTCGGGACTCTGACATTTGGGATAAAGACCTCACAGTCTTGAATTCCTTTTTCCCTAAATATTACCGCTCTCCCGGTCAAACAAATCTTGACATAAGATCGGATCTCTCGATCCGAAACTCGGAGAACTATTCTCATGGAATAGTGCCGATTAAGTGTTACAAGAGTACACTTACTCCGTAACCTCGGCTGATCTCACAATACCACCATCAAATATCTCAGAAATTAAATAACACTAATAATACTCTCTGCAATATACTATTTTGTGGATACATTTACACTGAAATAGTTATGTAATAAAACTCAAATATCAATTTACTCAAAACTTTGATATTGTAACATAACATCATCATCATCTATTCTTGTCTTCAAAATATTATTGCAACAGAGTTGACACTATGTTTTCAGTATCAAATGTTATCAAACTAAATCAGTAAAAATGAAAGACATTCTTTTTAATTTAAAATATTCCAATTATTATTCATGCAAATTCAAAAAATTAAAAAATAACTAGATTAAAATATAAATTCAACATTTTGATTTTGCAATTTAAAAACATACCATATGCAAATTTGGATTTGTAGTCTTACTGAAAAATTTACATGATTTAGCAAGCCCAATACCAGGGAGAGATGGAAGATAATCACAACCAGACAGAATACACATGTAACGGAACTTATCAAAAGTAAAATTTTCAGAATGTAATCCCATACATTTGTAAAGAGATGTTGCTTCTATCAGTATTCCTGATCCTCCACTGTCCATTTTAAAAATTACCTAAAGATAAAAAAGTTAATTTTGTTACTAAATAATGTAAATACATCTTGTAATAATGCATAATTATATTTTTATTAAAAAGTTTATACAGATTCACAAAATAAATTATTCAATTTAAGCCAACTTTTTATTTTCTAATTTTTCTTTTTTCCAAATACCTATTGGTTTAGAATTATACATTCATATATCATCATATAGCAAGTTACTGTTTGTTACAATAAAATTACAGAAATTCTTTATTGGAAAAGAATGCATAGATAAAATGCAAAAGTAAAGAAACTAAAAATTAACACACGTAAACTGGAAAGATATACTAGACACAACACTTAACACCTCAATACTACTTCCAGCAGTCAAAAGATTTTAATATTCTAACGTTTTCGGCCGTCTTTTAGAGGCCCTCTTCAGGATGAAACATTAAAAAACAGTTCTATCTTTTGAAGGATTCTAATAATCGAATACAGCTGTATTCGATTATTAGAATCCTTCAAAAGATAGAACTGTTTTTTAATGTTTCATCCTGAAGAGGGCCTCTAAAAGACGGCCGAAAACGTTAGAATATTAAAATCTTTTGACTGCTGGAAGTAGTATTGAGGTGTTAAGTGTTGTGTCTAGTAAAGAACCTAAATACCTACAGCATTTTAGCATTGTTTATTTGTTCTTTTTATTTTAGAATATCACATTTTCTACACTAATAGTCCATGTAACAATATTTTCAGTGTTTGAAGTTAGTTAATAATATTTAAAAACAATATTGTATACACAATAAAGTAATTAACAAGTAACAAACAAAGTAATAAAAAAAATATGTATCAGACATATGTTTATCTGATACATACTCTCTTTGTTTAGTAAAGTTAAACATTGTTATCTTTGCCCTCTTAATTTATTCCAGAAGGCTGCTCAAGTGCCAATCTGTTCAGATATAGAACGAATTTTTTTCATAAGGAATAATGTAAATTAGATTAATCCTTTCCAGACCACAAAAAATACACTTATAAAAGACTTTTAACTAGAATTTAACACAAATATAACAAGAAGTTTACAAGCTTAACATGCATAAATCATAAAAAATCCCAGAGTTATAGGTAAACTTAGAATAAATGAAAATTTATTCTAACTTTACCTATAACTTTGGAGAGTTGACGGAATATGTGGAAGCTGATGAAGAGGATGACTAGGAAGAGAGACATTATTATTTGGAAGACTGCCATATTTCCTTTGTTTTAGTGGGAAGTAACTATATGCAATACAGAATGACAAAATATGCTTATTAATTTTAACAATAATTTTGTCTGATGAAGAGAGGCAACTCTAGGGGTTCATTTTATTTTTAAATTCTTATTTTTTTCATTTAATTTCTGTTGCTTATTACAATTATATTTTTCTATTTTATTTTTCCATACTTCTCCTACAACATTATCTTGTTTTATTTGTAATTATTTTAACTTTCTTTTTATTCTTCTAATTTATATATATTTAAATTTAATTGCTACCTTTAGTATATTGTGGTTAATTTTTTCTTTTTCTCTGTACAGTATTATTTTAGCTATAGACTTCAGTACTGATAATGTTGTTAGTGTTTTCTTCTCCATTAAATGTATTTTAAATTAATTTATGTCTATTAATTGTTTTTGAATCTAACATTCACCTTTTATAATGTTTTTCCAGTGTTGGTCTCCTGGAATTTTGTTTTTTATCTGGCATGTCTTCATATTCTTTAGTTGGATATGATTAGTCATTTCAAAAAATATAAATATCTTCTTTGTGTTGAAACCAGTGTCGTGGAAGTGGAGTCACTAGAGTCGGATGTTTTAGAGTGGAGTCAGAGTCGGTAAAATTCTTTTGACTCCAGTGACTCCTACTCTGAATTTTACTGTTGGTAAAGTGTAAAGTATGAAAGATACTTTTTAATTAGTATCTAAAGAAAAATTTCTTAGAAAACGGACACTGTGATAAATTTAGACATATTCACCTATATTCACAAAATATATTCACCTATAAAGGCCATTTCATTGCCTCTATGCATTGTAGGCTGTAATCGTCGAGCACTATAGTCCTTGTCTGGTCAAAGTGTTAAGTCTCAGTCATACACAACAGATCTTCCTCGTGGTAGATCGAAAAGGAGTGGGAATCTCTCTATGTCCTGACGTCACCCTCGCGAGGCCCTCTCATGGCGTCCATAGGCGTTCGCGGCCTTAGCATATTGCATGCAACATGCTCTGTACACGAATATTATCACATTGCTAGAAAGCTATATTTTCTATATAACACACACCAGGCTAGGTATGTTGATTTGGTGAGTGCTATATAGGTATGTTTTTGCTAGTATCCAATAAAAATTAAAAAACATGGCACAATAGATACTCGACTGGCTTTGCATTTGTAAAAAGATTATATTATATAAATTATATTAATAAGTTTAAGATATTTGTTTTGAATAGCTTGTATGCTATGCAAATTAAAATTATGTGAAAAAAATTAAAACTAGCATATAAACCATTCAAAAAGCAAATAACTTTTTTAATGTGCTAGTGTATCAATTGATTGGTTTTAGATATGCAACACAATCTGCAATCGAGGGAATGTGCCTTCCAGGTGTTGTTTTAAGAAAAAGTGGCTCCTACATGGACATTATCAATGCAAATAAAATCTGGAACACCTGGCCAGCCTGTCATTCCAAGTGCAAACCCAAGCAGACTACCATTGTTTAGGGATTGAATCTGCTTAGCCACTGTTGCAGTATGGGTGTTGGATAAAGAAGAAACACAAGTGGTTCTATGTGGAAAACTTTTTGCAGCAACCTTGACCAGGATTTGATCTTCGATCCTTTGTGGCAACAGTCTGTACTGATCAATCGTCTAGCCATCTTTCAATATATGAGAAAAGCAATGAACGTATATAATGACACGTATAAACATCGTAGTAGCTCAGAATATACATGTAAAGACAGCACCTGTACAGTACTAATAATAGATAATAGGATGTCTAGATCATTTTAAGGAAAAAATGAAAAATTGTAGTCTTGTATAAAATAAATAAATCTTTTATTTTATACAAGACTTGTATTCGATTATTAGAATCCTTCAAAAGATAGAACTGTTTTTTAATGTTTCATCCTGAAGAGGGGCCTCTAAAAGACGGCCGAAAACGTTAGAATATTAAAATCTTTTGACTGCTGGAAGTAGTATTGAGGTGTTAAGTGTTGTGTCAGCGGTTGCTCCAGTTAAACAAACTAATAATAAATTCTATAATAAAATATGTAATATATAGGTAAATAAATAAGTAGGTAAAAAATAATAATTAGGTACCTATTTTAATGCTTTATTAAACCAAAATACAAAAATATTTGTACTATAAATTTGCCAGACTCACAACAATAGATAACTGATTCACATAATGCTAGTGTTGCCAAATATTAGTAATGATGTACACAAAGGTTGAACATTCAATCCATTCCTGATTGAACAATTTTCATTTCTTTCTTTTTAGTTAGAACATGTTCTAACTAATAAGGGAGAAAGAAAAGGGTTTGTCCAAAAGTCATTTTATGGTCTTCCTTTGAGCAGTTTCCTTTACGGGCCACTTCAGCAGGAGTGTCCATTGAATCCACCAGCTTGATGCTGGTCTCAACGATCAGATGGCTGCTGTCTGAATCTAGATGTAATTATGCACACAATACCTTCCAAGGAAACTCTAGCTGTCTTCCAACTCAGTCAAGAGACTGAAAAATTGTCTGGCGATCTTTGTCCCTTCACTTTTAATGGGATCGTTCAGTCCAATCCAGAGAAGGGTTAGTAACTTGCATTCAGGTCCACCTCAGACGAAATATCCATGTAATACATCCCACTATGCTGATCCCCTCCAGAAAAACCGAACTGCCAAGCAAAAGACAAAATCACTTTATTTCTGCCAACCGTTAGACTTACACGACATTGGAGTACGTAGTGACTACATATTTTAGGAAGATTACTAAAATATATCAAAAATTGCTAAATTCCTTTTCTGCTACTGTCCCAATCAAACAATTAAATTATGTATTAATTTATTAGTTTGGTTTCCGTTCTTCGAGATTTTGCCCAATAAAGCAGCTTCCCCGATTAACCGGCGGCCCAATTAAATGGAATTGACTGTATATATAATATATCGTTAGAAATTGTCTCAGATAAAACCAATAAAAAACAAGAATGTAATAAAAAAAATTATTATACATTTAATATAGTCTTCAGTGAATTTGTAAAAGAACTTTTAATTCAAAATGCATTTGCTTTAAACTGAAGAGAAACATATTTAATAAAATAGTAAAGCCAAAAAAGGTCTCTCGATGTCCAAGTAAAAATATTTCAAAAAGTGTGATAAGTCCTCAGACTAGAAGCCGATATAAAAGCTTAACCACCATTAAATTTTAAAACAAAGAATATCTTTGAAATTTGTTCTTGAAAGCTCCACCATGTCATTGTGTTGTTTAAGCAGTTTAAGTTCAAGTGCAAAGACAATAATAAGAAGTTTATGGTATGGCTTTGAAGTGCCAAGCTTATCTTTACCAAAGAAAAACTCCCAAGAAAATATTCGACCTTTATTTCGGGTGCCATAATTTTTACTTAGTGCAATATTTTTTTTTATCTTGGATGTTTTTCTTTGGATATCAATTGTTTTTGACTAATTAACTTTTTCACTGCCCTCTATAACATAATTTGGTCTTAAAACAGTCACAATAAAAAATTTTATTGAGATCAGAATCTAACTGCAACAAACTAGAGGAGGAAGTAAAACTGCAAAATGTAATTAATAGGATTGTTACAGCTTATTATTCACTGGTTTAATTTCTTGGGCAGGATTGTATGCATCTGTTATCATAACTGGTATATTTTTCCCAAAATTCATAGTTTAAAATTCTGTAATAAACTTGACTTTAGTCAACTGTTGTTTGGAAATTAACTATTCTTATAGTAGTTGGAGCCAGAGAAACTATTTTGCAAACCAATTTATTATGTCATTCATTAATCAAATCATTGTTCTTTTCATTTATTATTTTATTTTTAAAATGATTAAATTTAAATCAATTTTTGATAATTAAGTAATAAAAGTTGAATTTGTCTGGTTGATTAAGATATATGTTTCTTTATGTACTCAAAAGTTTTTCCAAGGTAAATTTGTTATATCCATTTTTTTATTCTCACCATCAATTTTAGTACAACTTTTATAGAGAAATTTTACATAAAAATATTCAGATACCTAGTGGTAACTTCTTTATAAAAGGAATTATAGTGTGACAGATTGGAGTTAGACTATTTCTTTACTGACTCCATCACACTGGTTTGAAACTGCCTTTTTTAAATTTGTGTTTTCAGACATTATGAAGTGTTGATATTATACACTAGACCTTTTCCACATCCACTTTATGTATGTCGACAATAGTATAAAAATCAGTGTAAAGAACGTGTATCAGATATGTCTGAAAGAAAAAATTTTTGTAAAGAGCTATTTTGTTAATACTATGTATTGATAAACATTGTTAGCCAATAGATGAGGAGCACTGGCCAAAAACACATATTAGCACTTGACACAATTAGTTTCTAGGCTGTAAAGTACAAAAGAGAATAAAGTGGATGTGAAAAAGTTCTAGTGTCTAATATCAATATTTCATAGTCTCAAAATACAAATTAAAAACATAAAAAGTTATTTTCTAAATAAAATCTGATAATAGCCAGGAAAGTTATGCAATTTGTTGCAGGATTTTTTATTCATTTTTTGCTAATTCCTGAGAAAGGCCAAGTATAAAATGACCAAAAACATTAATAACATACGATATAACAGCCTAATTTATTTGCTGAACTGTTGAAAAGATTTAATTGTATACTCTGAACAATATTCAAGATTTGTATGTTTTTGAATGTTTTTTAAATTTAAAAGAAAGTCGATATGCACATTAGAATGTACAGTACAGTAAGAGTTGATTGTGAAAATAATTGCAATGTTTATTTGAGATATATTTGTTTTATCAATTGCAAATTAAATTTAAGAATTTAAACATTTTTTAAACTAAAATAATTTTTGAGATTTACTGTATATATCTTAAATACTTTGTTTGTGATAAAAACAAAGTATTACATCACATAAATTAAATACATCAATAAATAATTATTTTTTCAAAATTAAGTATTTTTTTACCTTTTCACATCCAAATAAGATAAGATCAGAATCTTCTGTAATGATTATTTGTGCAATTCCACATTTATTTAAATAAGCAAGTTGTGCATCTGCTTCATATGGAGCAACAATACAATCAATTCCTTTTTGTCTACATGCCTATGAAATAAATTTTAGCTTTATCTTTTAATATTATAAATATAGAATGATTTGAAAGTTGAATTACTGATAGACTAACAAGTAAATAATATATATTAGAATGTTTGTCAGTATAATATTTTAAAATGATTAACTTTAATAAGAACTATTTTAATAATCATGATCAAAATTTCTAACATTTTATTTAACAACTACACAATCATGTTTAGTTACATGATATATGAAAATAGATTAAATTCTTCCATTTATTCAAAAATTTAAAAGTACAAAAATCTAGTAATATCAGTTATAATATTTAGTAATGACATAATATATAAAGATACAGTATTCAGAGTTCAGCAGATCTATACTTTAGTATACTGAGTTCCATAACACATTTGTTGTACTAGACAAACTTTTACTTTTTTTTTTTTTATAACAAAATTAGCTTAATTCTGCACTATTTAAAACTTTTTTTGTTTAAAACAGATCTTTTAAACATTGTTTTGAACATTTGTTTTAAAACAACAATCTCACAACATGCAAACATGTTAAATGTAAGTTTTTAATAATAAAGAACATTATATTATACATTCATGATTTTAGAAAATTATAAATTTTTATAAAATGAAAAATGCATTGTCAAAAAAGAAAAAAAAAAGAAACAAATTAAGAATTTATTTGTTGCTTCAGAAATTTTAAAATATTACATACCATGATCATATTTTGCAATTTTGCAATTATATAAACAGAGTGAAAAGTGATTTAAATATAAAAACACAATATGTATTTTTTTTAAATAAAATAAATAATTCAATTATCTAATATGAGCTTCCTATAAACAAAAAGAGATGATTACTAGAAAAAATAATTTATAACAATAGAAAAATCTTTTATAACAATTAATANAGGGCTTTTTCTATCCAATAAATTATAAAATCAAAATTAGAAATTTTGCTGAGAAAATTAACAAAATTATTTCAATATCTTCCATCAATAAAATAATGCACCTATTAACAATCCTACCTCCTAAGGATGTAATCATCATGCAAAAACGTTAAAGTAATCATTACTGTAATATTCATACTACCATAAAGTCTGATATGCATAAATCTCCTTCCTGTTTCCATCCTTTTCATTACCATATTTTTGTGCATTTAATACATGGTTTATCATATACAACACAGTATAAACTGCAAAGAAAATTGCTAGAATGAAAATAAAGTCTTTGCATAACATGCCCAACTGCATATCCTGCACCTGAAAGCAGACATTGCTCCATATGTAATCTTATTGATTATTTCAGATGTCATTCTCATTCTTATAGATTATTTCAGATGTCAGATTCAGATGTCAGATAAAAATGCAAAGAATTTTGACTGTTTGGCAGATGCCAAACAGTCAAAATTCTTTGCAAAAATGGTTGACATGACCTACCTGCATTTCAGGCCATCAAAACCACACAAAACAATTTATCAGCAAAATATGATCATATTTAGATTAACATTCACAATTCATACCAGGTTTAACACCTTTCAAATATTTTAATGACTTAATAATAAAAACAATTTCTTAAAATAATAACAAAAATCTTTCCTATTGGAGCTCGCTTATACTAAATAATAGTTTCTCTAGTACTTTTTGAGAAACCAAGTCTATTATCAGAAGAGAAGCAACTGACATAGATTGATAGCCAAGTCAGATTTTCTTTAATAATTGTCAACATTTTGAAATTTCTTACTCAGATAATCTATTATTTGGAGTAGTGTAACTTTTTTTAGTAAAGTGGAATATTTTTTAGTCAAAATAAATAAAATCAATATCCTACTGTTTGGAAAAATTTTACATAATTTGCCCATTTTGATACATGAAGAGCAGATTAGAAATACTCTTATTTCTAACATAGATTTAGAATTTTTATTCAGAAAATTAATTTATAATCAAGTTTATAAAACAATTTGCTTAAGAAGATTTAAAAATCCTGGTTTTACTCATTGAAGCACTTGACTTCATTTTCAAATACTATAATTTTTAAAACTTAAACATCAATGAATGTTGAATATTCATTCTAATTGTAGTGTTAAAAATATTAAATAATCATTAGCTATTTCATAAGTTCCAAAAACTGTAGCATTTGAGAAGCTTCAAAAATGTTAAGTTTTTAAGTTAGTTTTTAAGTTTATAGGATGAGGGTGCTGAAGGCATCCCCAGTCAGCACCATAAGTAACCGAGGATAGTTATAACATATTTAAATATGTCTGGAAGAGGAGATCAGAGTGGAGGCTCAAGCAGCATAACTGGCAACACATCTACACAATAAGCAGGAGTTAATGGGAGTTAAGTCCTGCTCCAGGCAGATTCTTTTCTTCTAGAATATTCTAAATTATTTAATAAATATTAATTTAATTATAATTATTAAAATTGATAAGAGATGGTGCCTAATGCCTCCCTCTAGTGACAAATTATTTAGTAATTAATTAAACATAATCATGAAAAAGTAAACTGATGTAATCCAGGTGTTGTTTGGTTTTTAAGTTAGTTTATTATCTTTATTGTACATTACATTCATCAAGTAGCTGGAAAAAATATGTTGTTTCTATTCGGTAAATTTAATTAACTAATTAAAAAAACACTTACAAATTCATTTTTAAGCTAAAATACAATAAATGAAATATTGTCAAAAATAAAAGCTTTAAACTTACAATAGGCTTAAAGCAAAATTTTAATAAATTTAATAAAATGTTTATTCTCAAACATTAAATTTTCCTTTAAGCCCTAAAAAATTGTCTTTAAAAAATTTTAAAAGTTGAATAAAATTGTTAGGAATGTAGTGATCAGATTTTGCTTCAGAACATGCTAATGCATGTTCTGAAGCAAAAAGAGTATTAGTTTCTTTTTCAAAAAGATAAATTTAACTCATTACATTAATATTATATTCTTTATTCAAATATCAGAGAAATATGTAATTTTGTTATGGAATATTGTGATAGTTATTTTATAAGAGAAAAATATTAAATTTTTTTTATAGCTAATAAATCTTTTGAGGTACAGGATCTATTTTATGATTTGCTTCTATGATTCAGTCTCAGATCATTATTACATTACCTTATATATTATAATCAATTAAAATATAATACAAATATTTAAAAAAATAAAATAAAATAACAACAATACCAAAATAACATCATGTGCCATTTCAGGAGTAATATCAACACAACGCTGAAAGCATTCTTTGGCTTCTTTCAATTTGCCTTCACGTAAAAATTCTTTTCCTTGAATTTTATTCTTATTTCTTCTTCTACAAATCAATAAAAACTAATTTCAAATAAAACTATAATTAAATACTATTGGTTAATATAAAAATTATCTTGAGAAAATTTTTATTTTTTGTATATGTTTTCATTCTTGAAATGTTTCTAGGATTTATGCTCAATAACAGAAATCTACAAGTAGATAATACTTTTATCTTGAAGAAATTTAGACCAACTAAATAAGAAATAAATATAAATAATTTCATAGCAGGTAGAATGAGATCACAAAAAAAATTTGAAGTAACTTCAAAAATCTTTAAAACTCCTAAACCTACAGAATTTTAGTAAACGAGGTTTGTTCAAAAAGTATCGGACCTTTGGTCAGTAAAAATTAATTTATTTTTGAGGTACAAAACCCTAATCCCCTTCAAAGTAGTCTCCTTGGTAATGTATACACTTCTCCCAGTGTTCCTGCCATTGCTGGAAACACTGCTGGAACGCATCTTTTGGAATGGCCATCAGCCGGTCCGTCGGATTTCGCATGATGTCTTCTCTCGACTAAATTCGGGTTCCTTTTAGTGGCATTTTCAGCTTGGGAAATAGCCAAAGGTCACACGGAGCCATATGGGGAGAGTACGGAGCGTGACGAACCACAGGAGTATTGTGTTTGACGACGAAAGCCCGAATCAGATGCGCAGAATGGGCGGATGCGTTATCACGATGGAGCTGCCAAGTTTTGATCGACCACAGATCCGGTCGTTTGCGTCGCACTGTATCGGAAAGACGACGAAGGACCTCCTGGTAGTACTCCTTTGCGATGGTTTGGCCTTGTGGTGCGTACTCACGACACACCACCCCACGAGAGTCGAAAAAACTGTCAACATGACCTTTGATATTGCTGCGGACCTGCCGCGCTTTTTTTGGCCTCGAGGATCGTCCCCGAAAGCCTGCTGAATCTTGCGAATGGTTTACACTCGGGTATCGCCAAGGTTTTTGGCAAAATTTGATGTAATATCGCTGCTCACGTTGTTCAGTCATTTTCCAGCTTAGTGGAATCCGACGAGAGCACACTACATTACCTCACTCATAGGCCGATTGCCAACGACTGATGCTTCCTGCAAGCGGGAAAAAATTCAGGGCTGTGCATGACTGTCCCCTCCACAACTCCACTGAAGGAGGCCTCTCGCACATCATTGGTTTACGCGGAAAAAAAAAGGTCCGATACTTTTTGAACAGACCTTGTACATAAGATTTATGAAAATTTACAGTAAAGAACTATTAATGAATAAAAGAATTTCATCATAGATATGAATGTAGTGTTCAAATGAAAGTCAGAATGTGGATTGAAAATATCCCATAAATCGTATAGTTATAACTAGTTATACTTTGAGATAACTTATGTAAGAGCAAGCCATCCATATAATCACATTGTCCATTTCTCAGAGTTTGCATAGATTCCATCATTTAAACCCCAAAACTTCCTGCATATCAATGCAGTAAAAGAATTCATCATCATCTCTGCCAGACAACTCCTGTAATATCACTAAAGGTTAAAAGCTTACACTAAAGTCTTCTCTGAAGATTGTGATGTTTCTGGAATGGCAACAATATGACAACAAATCAATTTTAAAAGCTACTCCATCACATTTAGACAAGTTGAGGTAATTAAGTCCAAGTGAAAAGGCAATTTAACAAGAGGCTTTTCTGTATGATATGGAGATATTAACAGTTTGTAACTAATAATATCCTGCTACTTCCATAGTTACTACAGTATTTTGAATGAAAGATTTTTTTTTTTACTGTTTTTATACTCAAGATCTATTGCTGTTTAACTATTATATCTGCAGGTTGTTAAAAGACAAAGATTCACATTAGGCATAGAAGCTAAGTTAGTTATCAAAAAACTGGTCTCCCAAACAATCTGTATAGTTTTTATAAGTGTGTTCTGTCTTATTGATAGATAGGATAAATATTCCTTTCACAAATGTTTTCGAGCTGTAACATTTGTGAAAGGAAGATTTTTTCACGCAAAATTACACCGGTAACAGGATCCGTATTTAGTATTTCATCCCTGGTGTCAGAGTGAAGTTTAATTTACTTAGGATAAATATCTTAATGCTGATGATTATTATTAAGCATATGACTTTATGGCCATAAAAGCACACAGACATACATGAGATGGCACTCTGACTCATGTAGCCTCATGTAACTACAGTCTTTAGTCAATTTCACCATTGGGTTTGTGTGGTGAGGATCCCTAAAGTTTCATATCAATCAAGTATCAATCAAGCTCAACCATTAGATCACTTCAGGGTTGCCTTGTTAATGACTTTCAAGCCCTCTGTTACAAAATAAATAAAACACTCCTCTGCAATATGAACAGTAGTCTTCACAGCTCTAATGGGCAGAGTGAGGATGGTGACATTGATCATTTATGTAAGAGGAATGCACATCTTCCTTGAGCTGTCCATAATCTATTAATTTGTGTCCAATATTCTCTTGGTAGTTCAAAGCCAGGTTTTTTGGTAGTAGGATCCTCTACCAAATGTTTATTTTAAAGTTATATGAGGTCCATCTCTGTTTCCACTTCTCCTCTGGGAAGATGATAATCCTAAGTCATTATATATGGGTAGTGTAGGGTATTATGAGGATATTTTGCAATATATTTTTGACACTACATTTTCTGACGCATGGCAGGGCTATGGTAGCAAGTGTTGGAAGCCACGACTAAGGCATGGATCTTATAGTTCCAGTAATTGTTCTCATTGTATTATTTAATTGCATCCACCAGACAGTTATAATTACTATGATATCAGACTGGAGCACAATATTCAGCTGAGGAATAGACAAAAGCCAACAAAGCAGTGCATAGGATATGGGCATTTCTGCTCCATGTTATCTAGTTTGGTGATAAGATTAATTCTTGTGGCAATTTTTGATTTTAGTTTTAATAAGTGCTGTGTATATGTAAGGCTACAATCCAATGTAACCCCAAGATAAGTCAGGTTAGGACTATGATCTGGAATTTTATTACAAAATTTGATGTTGAGTTTGGCACTGGCCTCCCTATTATTTATCTTGAGAAAATTTTTATTTTTTGTATATGTTTTCATTCTTGAAATGTTTCTAGGATTTATGCTCAATAACAGAAATCTACAAGTAGATAATACTTTTATCTTGAAGAAATTTAGACCAACTAAATAAGAAATAAATATAAATAATTTCATAGCAGGTAGAATGAGATCACAAAAAAAATTTGAAGTAACTTCAAAAATCTTTAAAACTCCTAAACCTACAGAATTTTAGTAAACGAGGTTTGTTCAAAAAGTATCGGACCTTTGGTCAGTAAAAATTAATTTATTTTTGAGGTACAAAACCCTAATCCCCTTCAAAGTAGTCTCCTTGGTAATGTATACACTTCTCCCAGTGTTCCTGCCATTGCTGGAAACACTGCTGGAACGCATCTTTTGGAATGGCCATCAGCCGGTCCGTCGGATTTCGCATGATGTCTTCTCTCGACTAAATTCGGGTTCCTTTTAGTGGCATTTTCAGCNTTCAGTCGCAACGTTGACCTCTCCCGCGCCCTTCATTAGGTTTCAAATTGTCACCAGGTGACTATGAGAGACCAATGGAGAGGCGACGACGGTTAAGAAATCTATAAAACCGTGCGACTCAAGAGACAAAGGGGCTTGGTTTTTGGTTTTTGGTTCTTGGTGTTTGGATACGTAGTGTGTCGTCTCCTGGACGGGCGTGCTCCAGATCTTAGAAAAAAAAAAAAGGACATTTTGGAACATCGTGGAAGCATCGTTCTCTGGGTGCTCCTAGCAATCGACAGATTCGTCGGTTCGTCCGTGAGAAGTCGCCGAAAGCCGTAATCAACGCCCCGGGGCCCACCGAGTGTTTCACCGACAGTGTCCATCCACTAGTGACGAAAACCGACTTTTACGAACTTTATTTCGAACTTTATCCGTGCGCTTTGGGGTGCTACCTCGTCTAACAAGTAATTTGTAAGGAAAATTTCTATGTTTAATAAACGGTTATATGGTAAACCTGTCTCAGGAAGTCAGTCAGCGCCCACACGACAGAAAGAACCGCTCGGCTGTCGAACACCCCATCCCTAATCGGCTGACCTCACATAGATAAGTTTCCAATTTTTCCAAATTGGTACTGATGACCTTTTCCAGTTCTTAGAAACTATGATTTTGGATGATTAAAGCAATATCATCTGCATTAGATGAACTTTTTGCAATTTAGTCTAGGTAAATCACCAGTACAAACATTGGAGAGAGTGGGCAAAAGAATGGGCCCTTGAGGCACGCCATTTTGTAAGATTTTATACCTGCCTTTTTTCCTCCTAAGTTTACCTGAAGCTTAGGGTTTTGATAGCATCTGATTTAATGTTCTTAGTACAGATTTGCAGCAAATAATTTTTTCTATTTTTAGTAATAATCCATTTTTCCACATTGTGTCATAAGCTGCTGAGAGGTCTATAAACACTCCACATGTTCTTAGTTTGTGCTCAAAGCCTGTTTCAATACTGTTAGTCAGTGTGAGTACGTGTTCACAGCAGTTACATCCTTGTTGGAAGCCAGCTTGTTCTGGAGGCAGAAATGGTTCAATTATTGATGTGATTCTTTGCAGTAGTATACATTTGAATAACTTTAAAAGGTATGCAGAAGAGAGAAATTGGATGGAAATTTTTTGGGTCATCTGCTTCTTTATGGGGTTTTAAAATGGCAAGGATTTTGGCACAAGTTTTTGTATCAGTTCATTAGTTCATTATTTGAAGAAAAAGAATAATTCCACCAAATAATAGTAGTTTTCTAATGATTTTTTAAAACATTTTTCCTTCATTTTTTTCAATGAACTTCAAAGATATCCACAGATGTGCATGCTTGGTGTGGCAGCTAAATAAAAGTGTTTTGGTTTTTTTGATAAAATTTTAGATAAATCCTAGCCTCTCTGGTCCCTAACAACCAGCCACCAATTAAAAACTAACATTTGATTTCATTCAATAAATTTAATATTTGATCTATTTGTATAGTTTTACATTTGAGTTCTCTGAAAACATATTAAATGTACAAATAAAAACATACAAATTAAAAAGAATATTTTATTCAAGGTAACATTAATAATAAGCTCAGGTTTATAGTATAACATTGCAATATTTTAAAATAAAACTTACTCTCTTCTTTTTTCTTCTGTAATACTTTTAAATGGTAAATTTCTTCCATCAAATACCATTATTGGTTTGGTTCCAGCTGCTAGTAGCATATTTACCATTTTCATACAATAATGTACGTACCTAAATAGATTTTAGACAATTCAAATATTACATTTAATTAAGAAATTTAAAATAATAAGCAAAAAGAAAAACTAGTATGAAAAATAAATAAAACAGGACACAACTATCTTTTGGTATTACAAAAAAAAAAAAAAAAAAAAATAGAACAAAAAGCAAGCACTTTCAGTAAATAAATTTACATTATCAGACAAAAGATATAACTCAAACAGAATTAAGTACAAACATTCTAGAATATTAATAGCACATAAAATTTTGAATTTAACAAAAGAATAATAATAAAATACATAAAAATGTTAATGTTTAATTTAGCAGCTTTTGATTTAAAAATAAAACACAACACATAAAAATTTAAATTATTAATCATGCTATTAATAAATAAATTGTTTGTTATGAGATTTTGTTATAAAAAAATCTTTATATTATTAATTACTATAAAAAGTCAAAAACCTTAATTTTGAGGGTCAAAATGGGTTTTATAAAATAAAAAATGTAAATGCTAATAACGAGTAAAATTTTCATTAAATCCAACTCCTCTTGAGATATTTTCCCCAACTTCTTGACTTTTAACCACTAAAATTCAATATCATCAATGCTTCTTATATACAAGCTATCATGCCAAATTTTGTTTCTTAATCTTCATCCCATTCTGAGATATTAAATGAAACAAACATCAATACACACAAATTTTTTTTTGTCATTTTCTTGTTTTTTTGGATTTAGGAGGTCCCAAAGTGTGGAAATTTGCAAAAAACCCAGAAGGTCAAATTTGACATGATTCTAATACTTTTCCCTGTTATGTATACATAACATCTGGAAAAGTAAAAATGTATGCAAAATTACATTTTATAAAATTATTTAAGTTTTTCATTCTATTAAAAACTTATTAGCAAAAAGGAAAAATAACAGATTACAAAAATTTTTGTATGTATTTTTAAAGAACATATTTTAACTTGAAACTTGTAGTGTTTGATTTACATACTACACATTCTATGTCGCAGTCACTATAATCAGTCCAGTTTTTTCTTACCCGAGCACTGAGTTAATTTTTTAAAGCTTTGAGTTAAAACGGGTTCTTTGAAAATATATACAGAAATTTTCATCAATCATTCTCACTTTTGCAAATAGTAAGTTTTAAGTAAAAACAAAAAACTTAAATATTTTGTATAATATAATTTTCAAATGAATCTTTCTAAATTTAAATTTTATGTTCTAATTTATTTTATTGTTATCCTTCTCTTGTTAAATTCAAAACATTGTTAAGTAATTTTTAAATTTAAATTTTGTTCAGTGTGCTATTGATATTCTATAATGTTTGCACTTAATTCATGTTATATCATTTGTGAAATAATAAATTTAGTTATTGAAAGTGCTTGTTTTTTGTTCTCATTTTGTGTTTTTATTCATTACAGACCAAATGACAGATGTCTTATCTACTGTAAATGTTGGTGTATATTACTCTTATCTCTTCATTGTATGAAAATTTTCAATTTAACAAGATTTTACTATAAGGAGCAAATTTTACTTAAAATTGCTTGCTTTTTAAAACCCAACAAAAGTGACAACTTTCTATCTTTTTGTACGAGATGTTTATTTACCAATTTCTTTGCAGCTAGATTTTCATTCTATTTTGTCTTTGTAATTATTCTATTTTTACTTTCCTGGCTGTTATGTATACATAACAAGTAAAAGTATTGAAATTGTGTCAAATTTGACCCTCCAAGTTTTCTGCAAATCTCAAAGTTTTGAGACCACCTGAATAATAATAATAATAAAGGCAAAGAAATTCCATGTATGTGTGTGTTGGTGTCTATTTCAATTAATATCTCAGAATAGAGTAAGCATTAAGAAACAAAATTTGGCATGGTGGCTTGTATATGAGGGCCATTGATGCTATTATATTTTGGTGGTAAAAGGCCGAGAGGGTGGGGAGATAGAGAGGGTAATATATCTTGAGAGGGGTAGGACTTTTGTCAAGGTTTAAATGTGAAGATGATCAACCTTCAATCTTCACTTAATCTTCATTTCATCTTACTGTGATAACTGTCTGGATTATTGTATTTTGTAATGGCATCTCTAGAGCATCAAATGATAGCAGATATTTCACTTATTGACTTGCCATTTGAGTGTAAACCATCAATCTGACTTTGTTCAAACTCAGTTAGCACCTTTCATCAAGGCATAGTTAAAATGTGCTCAAATGTTTAAGCTGAAACTTACACTTTGATTTCTAAGTAAAAAAAAAAAAAAAAAATGCAGTATTCACTTACCTTCAGCATTATACATTAAAAATTTATATTCTTACCATACTAATCTATTTGTACATATCTGGCATATAATTTTGCACCACTGCAGGGATTGCTGTGGAAAATTTAAAAATATCTCCAACTACTCGCCAGTTATAAATTTTTTTCACCACTTCAAATAATTTGCTACCAGTTTTACTAACTGATTAATGCAGGTGCTGGTAGCCTTATCAATTTGGTGTCTGGACAGCAAAAGTAACATGATAAGCCAAGGACCAATCTTACAAGGAGAGGACCAGACATTTGGGTCTCTGATTTGAACAAAATCTGGTGAGCACATAGCCTTAAGCACAAACAGCTCCTTGTCCAAATAATAGGACCCACTTCTCAAGCATTTCTGAAAATTTAGTGTTTAGCTTATAGTCTTAGAAAGTTTCGCATCTCTGAGCAGAATTAGCCAATGGATAAGACGTTAGGCTCTAAGCAATGTAGGTTTAAACCTTCAAAATTTAAATTTAGTTTTGTTTTCGTTATGTGTAACATTATTATTTTACTGCATCATTAGCATTATTATTACTGAAATTAATTATACTTGGGGCTAAAAGCAATTGCTATAATAATTATTATTACTGTTATACCTCACTTTTAAAGCTTATTAAAAATTGTGACATCATTTTCTGTTTAACGAAAGCAAGTCTCTATAGATTAACTCTTTTACTTTGTTAAAAAACATTTTTATTTCTTCATTTTTATTTACAGATATGTTAGTATTGTGATATTTGAAAAGTAACAAACATGAGGATATCAGGAAATTGTTCAGTTTTAAAAATAAAAAAAAAAATAAAATAAAATGCTATGACTGTGCTACCCTATATTCATATCAGACTTATCTTTTTCATCCATGTGCAGTAATATCTGAAGCTTATTTGCTTGTGAGGACATAATATGTAAAATATGTGAAAAAAATGAGAAATAAAAATCTTATTTAACAATGTAAAAGAGTTAAATCTAAAGAGGTTTGTTTTTGCTAAAGAGAAAATAATGTCACAATTTTTAATCTTTTGATTTATAAGCTTTAAACATCAGGAATAATGACCAAGACAAAACCTTTCTCACTAGTTTCTAGCCGTTTATACACAAGGGCAAATGTTTTCGGCCTTCTTCAGGTACACTGTGGTCTGTTAGAGTGTCGGTTGGTAAAAATTTAAACGATGTCAATGTTTACATAGGTATCATCTTACCAGTGACATCATCGTCATCGACTACCAACCGGTAATTGATGAATCCAGATCTCCTATGTTCTTGTTAGAGAAACGTATCCATCAATTGTTACAAAACCTCACCAAACTTCAAAATATAAATCTTAATGGGAACGAATATCTTACTGTATTCAATTTTGTATCAATGTTCCCTTCCATTTGTTTGGAACCATATTTCTGTGCACTAAGAGATTTCTTTCTCACCACCACACCTGACGTCCAGAGATTCCATTCCCAAATATTAGAGCTGACGCATATATTATGCTATTCTTCCTTTTTCTACTTTGATGGTCAAACTTACATCCAAACAAGAGGAGTACTGATGGGTAGCCCTATCTCGGGGGATCTGTGCAAACTCGTCTTATGTAAATTAGAGGAAAGAGTCTTAGTAAGCTTACAACACAATATCCTTAGCTATACGCGTTATTTGTAGATGATATTTTGATTATATGGAAAACCAAACCTGATATAGGAGAGGTGTTAAAAGTTTTTAACAACAACACCTACGGCCTAACACTAGAATTAGATCAGGAAAGTCGCACAGAGGTTAGCTACTTGGATATCAAGATTAGTATGGCGAATAAAAATATAACCACATCTATTTACCGCAAACCCACATACATTTCCCTCTTTATACCTGCTAACTCAGCAGACCCTTGGCCTTTTAAGGTAGCGGCTTTCCGGGCTCTAGTTGCTAGGGCTTTCTCCCATTGCTCGGACATTTCCAATACACACATGGAACTGAAATGCATCAAGTCTATAGCATCTGCACACGGGTACCACCAATCCTTAATAAACAGGCTCACTGCCAATCAGCTATCTACGATAACTACCACCGACACGAGGCTTAATGATGCAGAATGCAAGCGGGTGGATATAGCTTACGAACCATCCCTCCAACAGAACAAAACAAATTTTTCGAATCTTATCTAATGCAAAAGACAAGTCTGAGGACAAGAAAGCATCAGGAGTGTACCGCATTCCATTGCAAGATAATCGTTTCAATAGGCATATAACATACATCAGGTCAATGTATCAATCTCTAAAGACTAGAATACAAGACCACAAGTATGATGTGTCCAAGGGGAAGTATAATACTGCACTAGCCCAGTATGCTACTGAACCCGGAATTTCTCCTTGTTGGGATGAAGCTACGCTTTTACACAGGGTGTTTGACCAACATGACTTACGTTCGTTGGAGGCTATTGAAATTTATATAGTGGGCATGAAGGGAGGTTACATTAACTCCAACTATATTTCAATTCCACAATCCTGGAAGTATTATTTACAAAGCCACAAAGCATAACTATGATTTTTTAGCATAAAGTTAGCTTTAGGCGATGTAAAGGAAACAATTTTTCCCTATCGCACATTGTTTATACATTAAAACATCAGGCTAACTTTTAACAATGACTATATTATTACCACCATATATATTATTTTATATATTAACACCATATATATTATTATTGTATTTATTTAAAACTTTATTTATAAA